GCCCCCACAGATGGCATGCATGGGCTACAGCCTGCTTTGGCATGTTTGCCTTGGGGCCATCAATGCTATTCGACAGAAAGGCTGCGTTTCGACAGAAAACGTCGATTTCGCCCCGTCGGCTAGCCGCTTGCGGCAAGATCCCACGCGCCAACTCGGATTTCGGCATCCGGCCAAGCCGCCCTGTGCCACAGAAGCCACATCAAGCCGCCCGTCTGCAGGAACAAATCTCGCCCAAATCCTTGGGGCTTGCGCGTCCCGTCATCGAGGCGTCAAAAGGGGGGGATTGGTATCGGGGGTTCTGTGGACGTTGTGGTGGATTACTATTCAAGGCGCGTCGCGATGTATGTAAGCAGCGCTATCCCGTTGTTGCCGTCAGCCTCAGATGACTGGCTTTCTTCAGTGAACGCCACACTTGACGTGCAACACCGAGTTCGAAGGACTGGACGTGCGATCGATCCGTACCGCAATACGATGCAAACGATGGACGCCTGAATGCCCATGGAGTAGGATTCGTTCGAGACGCATGGCGCCTGAGTCGTGTCCACATTTTTCATTTTGGGGTCCCCACCTGCATTGGTCTGGCTTCTTCTGCATCCTTCATGGCTGCATCTTCACCTCAGTGTGTTGTTTTAGAGGCCCCTGGGCGTCTCGAACAGTTGGAGTGCCGCTGCTTCCGTATCCGTGGACTTGAAGACGCGCGGCAGGTGAGCAAGGGGTCGTCGTCTGGAATCTCTCTTCCCTTTGCCTCCGTCTTTCTGGTGTTGAGATACACCATATTTACCTCTTCTTTCGAGGCTGTCGAGGGGTGATGAAATGAGATGGGGGCAAGAGGGCAGTACGCGGTGTAGAAACGTGGCGGAAAGTCAATGGCGGCTTCCGCTTCGACACAAACGGCAAGTGCAGTCCCCGACGTCCTTGCCTCGACGTCTGCTGTATCGAAAAACTCAGCTCTATCCTTTTCTACAACTACCCTCGACTTGACCTAAGGTTCTGGATGCCTTTCACTCCTTATACAAGACCCCACACCTCTCTTCCTCTCCTTCACCATCCCATCTTCGCACATTGACATTTGCTTCATTCCTACACGACCCTCACTCGGCATGCTCTCATATTCATTCCTATTTTCTACCTTAGGGTGCGTAGTGTTGAATCCAGGCATCTCAGGGTCGACATGTTACTGCACCTCCATGGGTATGGTGTGAAATGCCCCTGTGGAGACGACTCTATGTCAGTCCACACTGTCTTGAACACCATATCCGCATGCACTGTCTACCAACACCTTTACTCACCCCGACTTCACGATGGCGGAGCATTGTAGCCTGCCCGGTCTTTTCTTTGCCGGTAGGACTGTCACAAGGTGCCAATTCCGCCACAGTGAATGCTCGCGTGCAATAACGTCAATCGCGAATCACCAGACCCGTTCCCAGCCTTTTTAACCCTCTTCTTTCCCATTTTCCTTGCCTGCCTGACGTGAATGGCTCTTCTCGCCACGGTGACTGGCTTTTCACGACTGCATTTTCCAGTCATTTCGTCATAGTCCCCCCATTCACTAGTATTCACTTCTGTCAACGACGCCAAGATCCCTACATCGGTTAAGCGCGATTATATTAGCGTATACCGTCTGGCTGCCTCTTGCTCCTCTATCCAACGTTTCTCTATTTCGCTATCAACTTTCTACAGTACGAACTGCCTCTGCTGCACATTGACTTCGCATCTTGATCGACATCTCCACGATCCAGACAGCCTAGCAGTCACCCAATTGTGTCAATCACTTCTACCTACACTTCACTCAGCTTATCCACCCCCACCAACTTCGCCGCTATGGTTCCTATCCCCGAGACCATCCGGAAAGGTGCAAGCTACCTGGTAGGCGTCATTAGAGAAAAGGCGCAGATCCAGTACCAAGAGGTATACCTGCAGCTCGAAACCCATGTTCGCGTTTTCAAGGTTTGTATATCACATCAGATGGCGTCCAGACTACGACTAACCATGGACATAGCAATCTTTCCAGAGGCCAACCCCCTACATCGTCGCAGCAGGACTCAACAACGTCCGCGACAGCTCGGCGCGTACAGAACTCCGGCCGCGGGTCAAGGTTAGAAAACTTGCTGTTAAGACTAAACGCCATCCGGCTGACACCCCGAAGAAGCAGCAGACCTACCACACCGTCGCCACAGGCCGCATTGCGAAACCCAAGCGGGAACCCCATCCCCGAGAACTGGACCCTAAATGGTACGACATGGCCATGAAGCGGAAGTCCGCAGAAGAGTACCGCGAGCGCGAAATGCGTCTCCGAGAGAACGAGCGAAGGGAGTTGGCCGAGCGCAAGCGACGTCAACAACAAAAGCGTCATGTTCCTTACAAGCGAACCTCATTGGAACGCACAACCGGTATCAAGGACAAGCGTCCCCGGTGGACGTCACAGCCAGCACTCCCGCCGCCAAAAGCTTTCAGCAACTTACAACACCCCGCCGAGTTCTACGAGAACCAGACCTCCGAGGAGCGTAGGGCGTATGTGCGTGAGAAGCTGACCAACATCCTCGGTGAGGAAAAGATGAAAGAGCCCATCCTTCCTTCCGGTCACAACCCCATGGAACCCGTTATCGCCGAGCACAACCAGCGCATGGCCACGATCAGCCTTCTCAACCAGTTCGAAGCTCACAAGGTGGATGTACAGCGCCAGTACGACGAGCAGATTCGCCTAGCTCGCGAAGAGGAAGTCACTCGACTCAAAACACAGATTCTCCTTGGTCACTACAAGGACGTCTACAAGGGCCGTATCAACGTGCTAGCATGGCACACCGGCCACATGCTCGAAGGCATCGACCGACTTGAACATCTTCTCCAAACCGGAGAACAGTGGGAGGTGGCCAGAGTCGTGCAAGTTCTGACCCACCAAGTCTTGGAACCCGTCAAGCGTGTGCTTGAAGAGTTTGACGCTGATATCCCCCTGGATCCGGATGGCGCCCAGAAGCTCAAGGAGGCCTGGCCCATGGCTCGTCTACAGGCACTCTATGACTTCCTTCTGGGCAGGTCCAACAATTTGGATTTACAGACTATGCGCATGGCTCAGTGTATTGAAGAGATCCTTCGACGTCTTAACAACCCCACGGTATTTGTCGACCCTCTTGCGCCCAAGCCACAGCCGTTCAGCGACCTCTATCAGAGCTCCAGCTCTACAAACGCCAACATCATGGCGAACACTACATCTCAGACCGCCTCTTCCCTCCCTGGTGCAGTCCCACCCTCCGCAGGAGGATGGTCCTTCCGTGGCCGAGCCTCCACCTCCGGCATCGACCCCGACGCCCCCCAATCCACCATCCCCAACGCCACCACCTCCGCACCACCCGGAAGCGGCCTATCCAAGCTTTACGCCGCAACCGCCGAAAACGCCGCCTCCAGAGCCGCCAACCCCCAAATCCCATCCATCACCATCGAGCCCGGCGACAGCGCCGCACGCACCTCGGTCCTCCAGTACATCAGCACCGACAACATGGTTCTCCAAGCCGAGATGGACGACATGTTCCGGCACGCCGAGCCCAAGAGCAGTCACCGGCGCGCCGTCACCGAGTGCATCAAGGGGCTTGTTGATGCTGCGGGTGGTGAGGATAAGGTGCTGGGTACGATGGATGCGTCGTATTATCGCGCGCAGATTGAGGAGTGTGTGAGGAGGATTGATGGGCTGGCGAAGAGGTATAAGGAGGTTAAGGAGACGAAGGCGCTTAGGAAGCTTTGTGGGTTGGCGTTGAAGATTTGGGCGGTGCATGGGTGATGGGGAGTGGAAGAGAGACCATTAAGGCTCAAGACCGTAAGATGAAGACCACCCGCTCAACCGTCAAGGAGCACAAGGATCTCATCAGGTTTGGATGGTGGGAGCGAGAGATGAAGAAAATAGTCTCTTCGCTGGACGCTATTCCTGAGCTTGACTCTGATCTCTTTCGCTATCAGGAGATATCCGGAAGGATGACGGGAAGGGCTAAAATTGGTCTTCCTCACGAATTCATGACTTCACGACACTGCGGCTTACGAAGCCACGACTACCACATCTACTTTTCTCTCATCAGGGTATCGGAGATATGCAGTCATGCACTTCCAGCGAGCAAGCAAGTTTTTCCTTCATTGTTTTCTTAGTCGCTTACTTTCTCGATTACATTGTTCCTTATCTTTCGAGACCTACCGCGGTCCAGAGGTTGACAACTCATACGTCCATTACGGCTACGAGCGCGAGGCAGGAGATGAAGACACTGTCAGCTGTGAGGTCGCAAAGCCGTGAGGACGTCTCAGCTCCCTGCCATTCCAGAGTCTATAGCAATAATAGTCAATTTCATCGAAGTTCAGAAAAGTCCTAACTCGCTAGCGGCAGCCGTTGATTTGACATTGTGACCGCTTTGGTTGCTGTGAAATTAAAGCTGATGGTCGCGAGCTGGTACTGAAAGTAGCCTCTTGCGGCTCGAGTTGCTCTAATGTTGCAGCGCTGCGCTCCTAGGCGTGTGGCCGAGTTTAGTAGCCTCTGCTATTACGACAATACTAGAAAGTGAAGAACAGTTGTAAGAAGCTGTAGTAAAGAGCGGGAGAACAAAAGTGTGGTGTTGTGGAGGGGTGGTGGGAGGAGTCTGAGTGCCGAGGACTTGGACTGAAAGACAGTGAAGTATGATCGTTGTCGAGTGGTTCTGTGGGCATGAAGGTAGACATGCGCAATGAAAACAGGCCTCAGGCTGGTGCGATCACATGTCAGAGGCTGGGCATGGCCCTACCGGACCTTTCGCTTCGAGATGGCATTCTGTGAAACTTCCATTTGAGCAGGATGACTTCGTGTAGATTGAACCTCCTTGCTTTGATACAAGTCTTTTTGACGACGTCTGTGTTGAATGGAGATTTGAAAGCGATGTCGTTGGCTGCACAAGGACGGAAGCTGTCGACGCGCTAAAGGCCCGGATCCCGGTCGCGTTCCGAAGTAGCTTGAGGGAGCGCCATCCTTCTTCCAACAACTCCATCGCGCCATGAACAGCCACCCTTCGCCTATGGAGCACATGGACGTCGAGAGGAGGTCGTCGTCGCCCAAGCGCAAAAAGGTCCGCCAAAAGTACGCGCCCAAAGCATGTAAGTCGCGACACTCGCTCTGGTTCGGCGCATCTCGAGCTTCCTATGCGGCATTCCGATGGTTCCGTAGTGGTTCGACGCAGCTCGCGCGACGGGACGACGAGGTTATGCCATCAGCCGGCTGACAGACTGTGCAGGTGTATCATGCAGGCGATCTAAGCTCAAGGTATGTACGCTCTTTTGTACATTGGCTGCCTCGGCCATTTCTGTCGCGACTGCATCGCGACTTCCTCGTGTGACAGCGTCGCTTCCGCATCTACGAACTCTCCCAGCAACAACCATGAGAGACAACAACTGACGTCAACAGTGTTCCGGCGAAAACCCATGCCAGCGGTGCATGGACAACGGCAAGCGATGCTTCTTCTCTGAAGACCAGACGGCCGCCGAAGCCCTGCAGAACCTCAGTCGACCCACGCCTGCCCTCCACACACAAGCCTCGACCACTAGCGGCAACGGCAACGGCCACAACGTACCACGAAGGAGCTTAATGCCGTCGGAAAACGGCACCGAGCGAAGGGCGAGCGATGCCAGCACACGCGGTATGACCATGGAAGCGCGCATGGCCCGAATTGAGGCCATGATGGAGGCTCTCATGCGCGACCGAGGCCTGACTATGACGCCAATGGGCAGTGTCGAACGTGACGAGAACGGCAGCGATGTCTTTCGGGGCGAGGCCGCGCTGTCTGTTCCGCCGCTGGACCCCATCAACCCAGCTCTCGCCTTCATGGGACAGCCCTCGCTCTTCTCGCAAGAGTCGGCAGACCCAGCAATACCCGTCCCCCCAGTCTCTGGCTCCCCCATCAACGACGACCCATCGCACCTCGTACAATTCGGCAATAAGAAGCTGCCCTTTCCCAGTCCCGCCGACTACCAACAGTACCTAGCCTCCTTCTTCACCGACATTCACCTGTCTCATCCGTGCATAGATGAACCCGAGTTCCGCAATCGCAGCCAACACATGCTGGCAAGCACGACCATACCTTCAGAAGATCGCGAGTTTCTCGCGCTGAACTACACCATCTTCGCATGCTGCGACGTACTTCTCAATGTCGCACCCATCGACACTGGCAAGCCCAAGGGCTGGCGCTGGCTTGACATGGCTGACGAGCTCGTCGACACGAGGGCGCTACTAAGCGGATGCGGCGGTTTGACGCTGATACAGTGTTTCCTTTTCCAGGTACGTGTTCCAAGGCTCTAAGCTTGATGCGCATAGACTAATAGTTGTAGGCCATCTACTACCAATACGCAGACATGCCCGGCCCAGCTTACAACACTAGCGGCGTCGCTGCAACACTCGCGCTCCAATTCTCCCTACATCAGCAGTCCACGTGGACGAACATCACGACGGTTCAAGCATATGAGCGCATCTGCACCTTCTGGAATCTCTTCGTCCAAGACCGATTCATCTCGTTAACGTGTGGAAGACCATACAGGATCCACGAAACCGACATTCAAGTTGAGGCACCTGTAGATCTGTCGCAACGGGTAAGTAAACCCTCCAACTCCCACTCTTCCTCACCCTGGACAGGTCTGGAGACTACATCAAGATCAAACTTGTAAAGTGGATGTCTTGACGTTGATGTCTCCTCCAGGGTATTCAGTTCCTTCCTAGATTAACTTCCCCTCTTCCTGCTACCTCACGCTCACGTTCTATAGGCAAACCTCTACAAAACCGAGGATGATGATCCCAGACCTTTCATCGACCACTACATCCACTACGTCATTCTCTGGGCGCGTTACACCAGTAACGCTGTCGACGGCCGCAGTCTCGATAGCACGACCCAGGACATCATTGATCGGCAGATCTCCCACTACCTCGATCACGACTTACCAATACTGGGGATGCCATCGTACGCTCGGCGGGATGAGGGAGGTGTACCACTGCTGAACATGTTCATCAAGCAGAAAAAGACGGACTTCGTTCTTTGGGGGCTACGTTCCGTCATAATCTCCCTGCAATACGATGACAATCACGCTGAACACCTCAGCCAACTTGCCTGCTCCACCCTCACAGGAATGACCTTCTTTGCGCGGGAAGTTCGTCAGTCATTCAGCCTCCGGCATCGCATGACATCGGCCCTGTCGAATGCACTTCTGGTATTTTGCTCTCTTCTCATCCGCAACTCTGCTGGACGAACACTTGCCCACATCGAGGCCTTCCATCGCGCTAAGGGCATGCTACATGACTTGGCCTTCAGTCAGCCATATGCGAAACGCGTCTTGTCTGATTTCGAAGGCATTGTGCGTGTGGTGGAGGATTGCCTAGCTGGGAAAGATGCCCCAGATAATGTCGCGGAGCTGTTTCCTTACCAGTCCTCGAGCGCTGACATTCGTGGCGTATTGTGGCTGTAGTGAACAAGGAATGAGGGGGGAGGTGGCGTTTTTCTGGTTGCAAATGTATTTCACTCTGTGTACCAACGGCCTGCATAGATACCCATTGCCCTCGCACGGGCTAGGAGACGGCGTTTAGGGTTAATTTACTTTTATCATGTTATTTGATGCGCACAGTTCATGATCTTTTGCCGTATCGATCATCGTTGCCCATTGGTGACTGGAGAGCAAATACAACAGTTGCTGCATATAAGGGTGATGTGCTCTGACAACACGCCCGTCAAAAGACAACGAGTAGCTCCTGAGTGTACTGTAATAGAGACGTCTGAGGAATGACAAGGCGCGGTATTCTCCCAAGAACACAAAGGCTATGGCGTGCAGTGCTCATCTCCTGCTCCCAAGTGCAAATTGGTGAGCTTCTTCACCGCGTTGACGACTAGACCTAAGCGCATTCTCGTTTCGAAGTCGAGAGAAGAAGCACTGGATCGGTGACGCAGGAAGGGGTCTGATCGGCTGCTCAAAGGGATGACGACTGGGTATGTCTGGGAGAGGTTTCTGCGAGGAAGATACGTGCCAGGCTCATGAGTATGGAGAAGGTATATGAGGGAGATTAATCACTGCGAGAATGTGACTTGGAAGGTCTGAGTAGTACAAGCAGAGGTGCTAGCTTGTTGCGGAAAGTTTTCAGTGCGCCTACCCGGTCTATCACGTGCCGCTGCTGTTGCCTAACAGACTAGAAGGAGCAGTGAAGAGAACTTAGCGTCACGCTAAGTTGAGATCTCTCGTACCGAGACTCTACCCACCTTCCTACAACCCCCACATTGCGACAGCTTTGAGACCTTTGCGACACAGCCCGTCAAGCTCGATCATGGATAGGGATCTGGTCTACCGGTAAGTAAGCGCTATCGCGACTAAGAAAGAACCTGCTAACCAGCCGTTAAGCGCTCTGCGGAAACTAGCATTGATGGCTCACGTTTCCACTTCAGTCCTCGAAACAACAACGGCCCCGACTCAGGAGCATCTTCGGGCCAGACTTCACGAAGCGGTTGCGATCGACAAAGTCGCAGAAAAGGTCGACGAAGAGCTCAGCACGTACATAGCGATTTACGCAAAGGCAGAATGCATGACACTGTCCAAGATGGTGCAGAGCAAACTACCACGGGAACTACGCGATATAGTGTACACTCATCTAGTACCACGGGGAACTTACATCGTGTGGCACCCCGCCCACAAACGTGAGTGGATTCGGTTCCTGCGGAAGTCCAGTTGCGATCATCTCTTCATGGAGGGATATCTTTCATTCGACATCATGAAGGAAATCGTCGAATTGTGGTACGAGCGGTCTAACTTCGTTGTTCTCGGCTATTCCTACGGTAGTGGTAACGACCCAAAGCGTGCTTCAAGAGCCTTGGACTTCTTCGACGACGACAGTTGGAGTCTGGACATCGATGTGCGCCAACACGTCAGACACATCTATATCCGCCTCGAATACGACGGAGACGTGCATGTTAACGTTACCCAACTTGCCGCTAACCTCCGGAGACTGACGTCACTGGGAGAAAATGCGCGGGTGATTCTGCAACTCCAATGTATGCACTTTTTCTACGCGACGCTGGCAGGGCAGCAATTGATAGAGCTTGTGACGGAGCTTCAAGTGGTTTTTCCTGTCCTGGAGGAACTCGTCAAAGGGGGAAAGAAAGTTATGGTCAACGTGAAAGGCCATGATCTGTTCGAAGTCAAGGTTGAAAAGCTGAACGCGTCGGATTGGATCAGTCAGTTGAGTGAGGTGCTCTCAGACAAAGACTTACTTGACATACAGTCATAAGCTGAACAGACGCATCGGGACGCACTACCATCTTGCAGCTTATGATGAAGAGCATTGGGATTGCGTCACATGTAACTGGAGGCCTATAGCTCTCGTTGGTGTCAAGCTCGCTGGACTTCTTGATTTGTACTATATAAGAGCGCACAAAAGTATTGCAGTAGCTGTCTTGCGAATACAAAACATTCCAATTCACAGCATCCAACACTGCTATCCTCGTCACACTCATACTATCGCGACGACGTGTATTACACATCCAGGCTCCGTCATTCTACAACTTCGCCTCCCTTTTCAGAATCGGATCAACCCACTTCTTCCACCCCTGCTGTACCCCAGCATTCTGCCACGCCTTCTGATTGATAGGCAACTGCTCAACCCAGCGCATAATATTCTCGTACACATTACCGTCGTACATACCCAGCGCACTACAGAGACTGGCATCAGAAAAGTCCCACGCATCCGTCAGGCCAACGGCCTCGGGCAGTAGTTGATCGAGCAGGCCGTTGACAAGATGCCGGATAGTGTCGAGCTGTCCCGACGTGAAGTACGGAGAACGCTCGTCAGCTGTCTCGATGAAGGAGACTGCGTCGACGGTACGTGGGTTTATGATTGTTGACAGGGCGTAGAGGGAGCGCATACGGTTCAAAACGATACGCAGGTAGTTGCACGTAGAGTCAGACAGGCTTGAGATGAAGTCGGTGAATGACTTCAGGATGAAGTACTCGATGTGGGCCCGCGAGGCGGAGATGAGCAGCATCATATGCTCGTTCCACGCATCTGCTGGCAACTTGCTTGATGCACGAATTGCCGAATGCGCTTTCACGACCATACGGTGTGCACGGTCGCGATAGATGGCGAGTTGTACTTTAGGGTCGAGAAACTGCGTTGCAGATGCGCAGCATGGGAGGTTGGGGTCTTCGATATCGGTCAGGTACTGGACATGGGGCTCGATCAGCTCGCCATCTTGTAGGCGGTCAAGTTGCTTGAGGAGATGTCGCCCGAGTTGTTGCCACAGAACGTAGTTCTCGCCCTCGAAGGTCGCTCCACCCACTAAGGCACCGACGATATCTGGTAAGCCGGAGATAGCCATATAGCCATGACCGCCGCACAGCTTACGTGCGTCTTCGGCACCATCAGCGGCCTCGGACGTGACATACGCCTTCATCCCAGCAGTCAATGCGTGAACAGCCGGCAGAAGAGAGTGATCGTTCTTGCTCTGCATCTCCCGCAGTTTGTTGTACTGTTCGTCGCAGACCCGAGAGCCGAAGAACATGGCGTACGTCTTGGCGATCAAGCTCAAAAGACGGAAGTGCTGATGTTTGTAGTGCAAGATGCTTCCTTCGGTGGCAAACGCGTCGGCAGGTCCGAGGCCTTGCTGTCGTACAACAGAGTATCGTGTCGCAATCGTCAAAGCTTGGGCTAGCTGAACCGTAAAGACGCTGGGCATCCTGCCGCGGACGAGCAGCATGACGGAGTATGAGAGCTTAGCGCGGAGGGGATCTTTGGTGAATGTGCCATCGGATGTGAGTTGGCTGTGAGCCATGAGCATCTGCGATCGAGAGATGCGCACGTTGTCGAAGGAGGCGAAACCATTGTCAGCTTCGTTGTAGCTAAGTCTCAGTGAGTGACTGAAATCTCGACGTCTTCTGCGATCTCATTACTTACCCAAGCTTCAAGCCAACATCACCCATCTTCACACCAGGCATTGGTGTGCCATCCTCGACTGATCGAAGTTGTACAAGGAATATATGTGGGCCATGATCCTCGTCGCCAACAATCAGTCTCGCCATGACTGTGCCGTGCGTGGTCGAGAAGCCTAGCCCCGCAGGCCAGAACTTTGTCGACGAGATTGTTGGCGAGTGGACGACAAACTCATCGCGATCGGGGTCGAAGGTGGCCGTGGTTTCAATACCTCGCACGAAGGAGCCATGACCAAGCTCGGTTTGTGCGTATGTACCAAGTATCTTGCCAGATCGAGCGAGCGGGAGCCACTTTGCCTTTTGTTCCTCTGTACCGTTGTGCTCCATGCCAGGCTCGAAGAGTATGGCTTTGTGACCGAAGGGGCTATTAGAAGTTAGTTGGCTAGTCATGGAAGATTCTCCTGACCACCTCAACATACCTGGCGTTCATGAGATTGTATCGCGGCGTAATCCACACAAAGTGCTCGTGGTCATGGTTGAGCATATCATCGAGACACGCTTTTCCCATCTCAAGACCCTGTTCAAATAGATCCTCGCGTGAGGTCTCTGAGTAGCATCGAGGAAGCTTTGCATTGTCGTCGGTGCCGATTGCTTTCTCAACTCGCCTGAAGGCGGCTCGTCGCTCCTTAACAACTTTCTCGCTGCAGATGGGTTAGCAAGGATGGTATATAAGCTCGCAGATTGTACTTACCTTCCCCATAGTATGCACGTCAGCTGGAACGTGTCGAAAGAAGCTGAGTCTCTTGCTTTCTGTAACAGCGCGCTCTGAGCATTTGCTACCATATTGACCACTGCTGCTCTAAAAGTATAGACAACAAAACGTGAAGATGAGAGGTGAAGATGCGGGGGCGAAGACTAGGGTTGAGGGTGACCGATGGATATGACCATTTAAGACGTGTTGAACAAGCCGAGATGTAGCAGTCTATTGCCGGGTGCACTGGGCTTCCCCCTTCGATGATGGTGTGCCTCCTATAGTCTCTCTGGGCAGACACGTAACCCGCGCTTGCCATCCTCCAAGCCATATGTCGCCGTATTTCTACCCAGTATGAACCAAATCTGCATTTATGCGGCGTAGAAGTCCAGATCGAAAATTGCGATTGGCCAGATCGTCCAGATGTCCTCACGGAGATATGCATACATGGTCCTTCCGTTCGCCAGATGCGAGTTACGAATCTCCATCTGGAGTTTAGCTGATACGGCTCCTTCGATGTATTGGGCGATCCCTTGATCTCGTGTTTCATAGCTTTTACTCGTACAGTTGGGACTGAACACGTTCCAGCAATACGAGCCCATAGCCCCGGCTATGGTGTTCGTTCGACATCCAGCTGAACGTGTTTGATGCTACTCCATATCGCGCGCTTTCCTAGAGGTCGCATGTCGGCCAGTCAATGATATTGGACTCTGGAACCGAAGGACGCGGGCCGTGATTGTAAGGGCGGCCCTTGATGGCGCCGCCACGTGGGGAAAGTCCTCGTCTTCCGATGGCATATCGAATCGCGTTCGTTCGATGTTTGATCCTTCCTCGGAAGGGACGTGACTTGCAACGCTATTCGCTGAGACTTCTTCGATCAGATAATGAGGACGTGGAGCGCGTGAGAAGGAGCAATAGATAGTCCGCTCCTCTGGCCTGTAGGTGTTTGGCTTTGACTTATTTTGTGATGCGCATTGGTACAGACGGGTCTAAATTCTATCCTTGGTTGGAATGAGGCGGTGTAATGCCTACAGCTGAGGTAGCAGCAATTCCATAGGGGTGCACTCCATTGCGCTACTAGCTCCGCGTCCGCCATTGCGAAAGCTGATTGTCATCTTGGTGATCTACGCTGGTATCTCGAGAGACGTTGTTGCGGCTTCTTTGTTAATCAGCCATATCGAATGCAAACGTGTGGAGACTGACGGATGTTTAGATGCTGAGATCGTGGTGTTCTGCGGTGAGATGACGGCAGGCCTCAGCGGGCCAAGCCATTTCAGGTTAGCGCGCCATGCAACTTGCCGAGGCGACACGTGCAGAACCTGTGAAGCAACTGCCGCGCATTTCCATGCGTGCATGCCAACTTTGGCCATCCCTTGCTCTGCAACAACGATGGTCGTCGCGCTGCTTTCCGGTTTTGTCTGCAGTATGCCTGACCCCTGGGATGAAAATTCGCGCTGGCCCTCCCGAAAATTGTCGGCGACACAAGCGAGCCTCTTCGAACTTATCGTATGCGGCCTGCATGTCATCACCTCCGCATCACCGACTTGAACTGGTCTGGTTCACGAGTACTACGCCAAGCATGTCTGTAAGCAATGACTACTAATAAGAAGCATTCTCAAGACTTTAGCATTCTTACTCATCAATCGCATGCGGGTCGCACCGTTTCCATCTTTTCTCCGGCATTTGCCCTGCCCATGCTCGGATTTCGGACTTAGTGATTATTGGTTCTAGGCGCGTGGTACCATCCCAGGATGTGTGGCAGCTCTTCAACGTTCATCATGATGACGCAGTGGTGTATCTCTTCCTAACGTTTTTGCGGAGCTTGCGGCATTTTGATTCGTGGATCCAGGTAGACCACGTGCTGGCACGATGATGTACAGGGGTTGCCTGCAGTACACGTTATGGCAGATCAGTATAGCCCATGATTAAGTATCAGTCACCTTGAGGTCATGACATAACGCACATGGGCTGGCGCGTCCACTCCACAATGCGACAGTCGCGCGCATTTGTAGGGGGATGCATCCCGAGCCTCATGCTAGATCAAACTTCCCCAACTCCACACCCCGACCATGGCGCCCGCTGAACCCAACGCAAAGCCTTTCGAGCTCTTGACAGCCGAAGAGCCGAATTTCCCAGAAGAGCGAGAAGGATGGAAAGGATACATCGAGTGGGAGCGATACCCAGAAAAGAAGAAGCAGGCGGCGGAAATCCTGGCGAAATACGACTTCCCTGTACCTCCCGAATTCCAGCTGAAACCGCTGCCCGATACCAACCCGGTGCTTGAGGGTGTACGATGGAAACACTATCACTACGCGATGGGCAAGACGCTGAAGGATATGCCGGCCGACTCTTGGGAACACGTCAAGAAAGAGAAGAGCGAGGACATGGTCCATGTACTGCAATTCCCTTACAACGGAGAGCCAGAGCGCAAGCGCCTTGTCGAAACCGAGATAACCAACAACAAAGACCACTTTGTGAGAAACCACGGTGGTATACCTGAGATCGACCCGGAGAAATACTTTTTTGAAGTCGAAGGTCTCGTCGACAAGCCGAAGAAGATCACGTTGAAGGAACTACAGGACGAGAGCATCTTCCCACGCATGGAGACCTGCGTTACTCTTCAGTGTAGTGGTACGCGCCGTATCGAGCAGATCCACGACTATCCGGGAGACGGAGACGAACTCATCAACGCGCCGTGGGGAGAAGGCGCCATTGGCACGGCCCGTTACGTGGGCGTCAGTCTCAAGAAGGTGCTCAAGTACTGCGGACTGAAGCCGGAAGGAAAGCACGTCGAGTTCTTTGGCGCCGACACCTACTTCAAGAAGGGTCACGTATACAACTACGCTGTATCAGTACCGACTCGCAAGGTAAAGATCAACGAGGTCATGCTGGCGTGGGAGATGAACGGAGAGCCACTACCAGCCATCCATGGCTTCCCACTCCGTACTGTCGTAATGGGCTACATCGGCGCCAGAAGCTGCAAATGGCTCACTCGCATCAACGTCATCGACCAGCCGTCTCTGGCTCCCGTTCAAATGAAGGAGTATCTCTACTATACCCCGCAGAACGGCAAGCAAAACGTCACATACAGCAACGGTTTCAGTATCCAGACGATGCCTGTTGCGAGTGCTATCATGACGCCTGTCGACAAAGACGTCATTGTACACGACGGCAAGATTCGTATGACTGGGTGGGCATATAGTGGAAGTGGCTGGCCGGAACGAGTCGAAGTCAGCAACGATGGTGGCGGTGTTTGGTATGAGGTGCCATACGAGAACTTGAGCAAGAAATACTACCATGCCTGGCGCACGTGGTGGGTCGATGTTCCAGTCGATGCTGAGGGATGGCTGTAAGTCTACTGTCGTCGGTAATGCTGCGACAAATGCTAACGTTGCTCAGTGAGTTCTGCGTCCGTTGCTGGGATGACGCTTTGAATGTAAGCAAACTTCGACTCCCGTTGCGAAGGTCTCGCACATCTTACGTCGTGATTGTCTCGATGTGGCGTGGCAAAGGCTCGCTGTGACTACCGGACAACATTTGCTGACCTTATACGCAGACGCAACCTACCTTCGTGCGAAGTGCATGGAACTGGGATCTTCACGTGACATCCTCATGCCAGTAAGTATCTAACGTCTGAGTGATCTCGCATTCTCGATAGCAGAAGGCTAACATTACTGTAGCCGCGTCAAGCTTTACAGCGTCAATCGCACCAAACCCGCCACGATGAAGCGTCTCAAGCAACTCGAAGACCACGGTGCTTCGATCCATCCCATTACCAGGCCTTTGCCATTTGATCTCGAGACCGAGGAGGAATATCTTGAGGAGATGAAGAAGCGTGGAGGTCGCGACCCGGAGGAGTAAATTGCTGGAAGAGAGTTGCTTGGCCAAAGTGGTTACGCGAGTCGGGTTCGAGCAAGCCTCGGAATGCAGAATGAGACTTTACTGGATAGTAGGATCGTTTTAATAGCCGGTACATATGATAATGCAACGAGTAATACCTCTTCCCCGAAGAGCGGCCGTGATTAGTGAAGTACCCGGCAGGTAGAGGTGGACGCAGGCGGCAGCATTTCGCCACGTCGTATCGCCAGTCTACTTGAGCTTTCCCGGTCTCGGAGTGCGTGCAGCAAAATGTGTATGAGGCACAGTAGTTCCGGAGATCAAGTCTAGTCGGTGATGAATTGCGGCGCAGTTGAGACATTGCCCCACCGCGGGCGGCACGTGGCCGGAACGCGATCACGAAGCGGCTCTCTCATTGTGTCACAGTCAACGACAACGCACATTGTTGCTGTCGAGATTATCTTGATGTGACATCGCAGTTCTGTTCAGGCGGATCACCAGAGATCTGAAGCTCTCAAGACCGTGACAACAAACCACGCCCAGTCTGCCTCGCCACGCACGTGCAGCGCAGGGCATTCGGCCCCTGCATTGCATCGCAGGACATCTGCATGAACTATCGGATCGCGCGAAGAAGAGGCAGGAGCGGGCAGATGGATCAGTTCTCAGTGGACTATGTGGAGTACATACGAGGATAGTCTCTGCGCACGTCAGCCGGGCGACATCCGCAAGCGCCTGGGGGCCAGGCATCTTGCTTCTCAAGTTGTCGTTATTGGATATGTTTTGAGGGTATATGGGCTTTCGATTCTTCCGCCGGTAGTAGCCTGGATTGAGGGTGCGCGATGGAGCAAGTCGAGCTTGGTATTCTGGGCCGCTATAAGTATGCGATAGCGTTGCGATAAGTCCTGAACTATCTCCATCGATCTCATCTTCCAGGAATTACTACCCCTCTTTCTGTCTTTCAAGATGCGGTTCTTCATCCGTGCTGTTTCTCTTGCCGTAGCTGCGACATCGTTTCTTGCTCATGCGGCACCTCTTCAAACTCGCTCAACCGAGGATTCGATCGCGGGCCGATACATCGTACAGCTGAAGCCGGACGTGGACGTCGCAACATTTACCGCTCACCGCGAGAAGGTCCGCAGTATAGTAGCTCGCCATCTCGGACGACGAGACGACGTCGACCTGAATGCAGGGATCGATAAGGAGTACAACTTCGGAGACTTCAAGGGCTATGCCGGGGCATTTGATCCAGCGGTTGTTGCCGAATTGGAGACATTGGATGATGTGTTCCTCGTCGAAAAGGACTTCCTAATGTATCCTACGGCTCTCGTAACGCGTACGTATATTACACCCTGGAGCCTACGTCGACGTTAGGTCACCCACTTTGCGTGTTTTTGACCTGATGCAGTTTGCAGCCCTGTTCGGGGTTTTCCTTGTATGAAGGGAGAGCATGCCGCTGACAACTACCAGAAACCAATGCACCGTGGGGTCTTGCAAGCGTATCCTCCAGGACCAGAGGAGCCACCAGTTATATATACGATTCGACAGCTGGCAGCGGCACCTACTCGTATGTATTAGATAGTGGTATTCGAACGACCCATGTCGAGTTCGAAGGCCGCGCTTCCTGGGGATACAACGCAGCCAACACCAACAATGCCGACGTCACTGGCCATGGCACCCACGTAGCTGGTGTGATTGGTTCGAAGACCTACGGCGTTGCCAAGAACACGACTCTCATTGCGGTCAAGGTAATAGGCGATGATAACGTCGCAGCTGGCTCCAGCGTGCTGGCCGGCTTGAACTGGGTGACAAACGATATCGTTACGAAGAGCCGACTGGGTTCAGCCGTGGTGAACTTATCGCTCGGTGGGCCAGCCTCCTCATCCATGGATAACGCTGTTAACGCACTGGCGAACCGAGGTATATTGCCTGTCGTCGCTGCAGGAAACGAAAATCAGCCGGCCGCAAATGTCTCACCGGCTCGTGCTGCCAATGCTCTGTGCGTAGGAAGCGTTCAATCGAATGATGCTCGATCGTCGACATCGAATTACGGGTCGGCCGTAGACATCTGGGCTCCAGGTGGTGATATCACGTCTACCTGGCACACATCAGATACAGCTACAATGACAGCGAGTGGTACCTCGGCGTCTGCACCATTTGTGGCTGGCATAGTGTCTTATCTGCGCGGTCTCGAAGGGCAATCAATCGGTCCGGCCGCGAGGGCAAGAGTCTTGTCATTGGCTACTGTAAGTGACTCTGCACCAACTGCATGGGAGACGTTGACTGACTTCGTAACCCGTAATTTAGCCAAATCGCCTCACAGATGTAGCAGGCGCACCAAACCTATTGGCTTACAATGGAAGAGCTTGAAGGCGATAGTCGCAATCGGCTCGTATTTCGACATTATATAGCGATACAGCCTATGTTTAGCTAGATTCATCTTTGACGTTACATCAGTAATGAAAGGTGATGTTCAATAGTGCCTAAGACGTGATGCGACGGTCGGCGCGATGTGTATCCTGGTCCACAGGTGTTGCGACACGCGTTCCTAACGGAACTCTGGAGGAGGTTGAGGTGTCTCAAAAATAAGGAGTTGATCGCCAAGATGCATGGAAGCAAAACGAGTATCTGCTCGGAGTGGTTGAAGTCGTAGTTGCGTCCGGGAATGAAAAGTGTCGACGGCTGTCACTGTTCTCAGGGAAGGAGAGCTTGCCATCCAGAATAGGCTAAGACTGGCTTAGTCATTCGGTGAGCGGGGCCCATCAGGGGTTTGCGATCTCGATGACGTAGAACGCCCTCCTGTTCACCCCAACCTCACCACCGATACCACTAGCATATCTCTCCAAACTGCCGTTAATGCGCTCCGGAGTCCGAATTACAACTCTGGATATGGTGAAGCGCTGACAGTTCCGTGCGTAGCATGTGCTTCACTTGATCATCATTAACAGTTCTTCCAATGGCATCTTCCAACGCAGTTGCATCATTAACAGCAGGCACCTTGGTCTCTACGAAGCTGAGGTACCTGCTTACCAGTCGCAATGCGACCTTAGCAGTCTATCAGAAATCTTCATTGCGATGGAAGCATCTGCAAAGTCTCAAGATGCATGGGCGAGTAAGAAACAACCGTCTCAAGATGACAATGGTGTACAGGAACCTACGAATATGATTTCACTTTCAGGAAGCAGCAGTCACGCCTCCTGCGTAGTGCCCTTACTCATATAGATCCTTTCGACAATAACTGCCCCAGAGCTTCAAAGCAACTGCGACCCCACCGCCTACTCGGGAACTGTGGCACGCGATGTCTACACATTCGAGACCACATTTACGGCGATCGGCCCGCCGTCAACCCTATCGTTACCTCTGGCCTACGGCCTATCGCAATGGACATCGTCTTGCTTCCGAGTTGCGGATTAAGAGGGCTGGTCAAATCCTTGCTCTCACCTCAGATCACGACAAGCGACCACGCCGAGACCGCAGCTCCACGATACGTCTGCGCGCGCAAGAAACATCAAAGTGGAAGAAAGGGACGAACATGCGTTTACCGAGTCAGCGGCGAGCGTACAGGCAAGGGTGGACGTAAAGTCAGGCTATATACGAATGTGGAAGGCGTCGATCTCGACGACGACGAGCGGCAGAGTTTCGCTGGCATTCAACGCACCATGCGCTACACCAAGGGTCGTAGCCCGAGACAGAAGACGCATCGATCTCCGCCGATAGCAGATGCCGCGAGGAAAAGGCGTCCGAAAGCTAAGAAGCTGGCTGTCAAGGCTCACGATGAAGACTTTGGTAGTCGTTCTGAAGGCAAACGAATTGCGCCGTCACGAGCCAGACTCTTGAGTGCAAGCTCGGACGAAGTGAGGGACGTGCCCAGGCATCTCAGATTTGGGGATAATGGGAAGCATATATTCTGCAAGTCGCATAATGGCTCACGCAGCAGGACGCGTGATGTCAATCCCCGTGACGGCTCACAAATCCACATACGAAAAGAAGCAGGCCGCTTTGGTGAGCCGACTTCGCCAGCCGAAGAACGCGTGCGAAGCCGTCGAGACCATCATTGCTTAGGCGCGCTGCCGATCCCAGAGCATCGATCAAACAGACCATCTCTGGAATCAGCACCGGTACTTTCTTCAAGAAGATCTCGAACAGCCACAGCGAACAATACCATCAAGCTTGTCATCAAACCCGAAGAAGATACATCCAAATTGGAAGCTCATGTGTCACCCGACGGAGAGCAGAACGCATTCGGGATATCAGAAGCGCCTGGAAGCCCTTTCAGGCAACCCGGGCTGACGCCACAGGAGTCCTCCGACTTAGTCTTCGGGACAAGCTCTCGAGTCGAAACGCAGAGACGGCTGCGAGCGGGTCGGGCAGACGATCATATTGCGCCAGACGTGCATGAGTCCGCATCCCAGCTCGCACGCGATCCTTCGCTAGGCAAAAAACAGCAAAACCCCGACGCAAACAGCCTGTCTCGAAATCCACCTGCATTAGATCTCGGACACACTGTATTCAACCATGATGAACATGAGATTCTTACAAGATCGCGAGCACCGGCTCTCATCAGTCCTTCAAGAACAGCGTTGTCAACACACGGCGCCACACGGGCAACAATGCCACGGTTTCTTCCAGAACAACCCCTACAACAAGTCACTTCAGGTATACCTGGACTAGTTCATGCTCAGGCCGGTGTACCATCTGATCGGTACCTTTCAAGTGTCACCCCGGGTACCCCACCATATACGCCCGGAAAGGCGACATGATACGGAAATGATACAGCAGCGCGGTATGGCATATGACGGTCAGCCCGGCCATCAATGTGAGTGTCTGAAACAGGAACTCTGAATGGAAAACAACAATTGGGGTATTATTAAACGCCGTTTACCGAAGGCAAAATAGTAGCCAATCCAATTAATCCACGTCCTCGATCAAGTCATCATATCCGCTGTTCATTACGGGTATTGCGTCATTTCCTCCATCCAACTGATCACTTCCGCTATGTTGGCTGATGTCGTCGTCCAAATCCTGATATTCCTACTTAGCATCAGTTTCGGTGTCGACAACGTTCACGTCTCCTGTGCGACCGGGGTTACGATGATCTTCGCCCCCATGACGGCCGGGGAGTCCGCGTCCTCGATGTCGGGATAGATGTTATTTACCAGAAATTGTCCGACCTGCCATGACTACGACTTTGTTAGCTATCAACACTCTCATCTGACTGGAGACATGCGACGTACCAGAAGCCCACCCTCCACATAATGCCTCCACCTCTCTGAAGACCCCAGATATACCAAGATCTCCCATGGCAGCTCCTCGCTATCGAACTCCCAAAACGTCATGTACTGGTACACTGACGCCTTGTCTACTTGTTTGTACTTCTCGTCCTGGATGAGCGAAGCGTGCTCGAGCTTGAAGATGCGCGTGCGAAGTAGTCCAGGACTCTCGAGCATACCGGGCGTAAACTCTTCTCCGAACCACTTTACGAATTCGTCGTGAACCTCCGGGGCGGGCTGCCAAAGAACCACGACCCACATTTGGACATCGCGGGGATCTGATGCAGGGTGTTAGCTTCCATGGTGCACCCTTGTATCATGATCTTGAGGATGACATACCTCCGCGCCACTCTTCCCCAAACCAGTTCTTATGCTCTGTGTAGAACCGTGTGTCTACCTTCGCCTCACTCGGAAGTTTGTCCAGCGCAGGGCATATCCGCGCATCCAGGTCTTGCGCGCTTGGTTGTTTCGGTAGATCATAAATGGTCATGAACCTGCCATCAATCCCAGGTACTTCCTGGAAAGGACTGTCTTCCACTTGCTCTGCATGTCTGGCGGTGGACCTGATCTTCACCAGGGCGTCGGGTATATGCGTGGTTTCGTACCAGTGATAGGCATCGTTTGCATCCTCGCCTAACTCCGCCCAGGCACAAGCAATTCTTGACATGATTCCTTTTGGCGAGAGTTGGTAATTCGGTCCCGCGGACGTGGTCAAGATGAATGAATGCAGGAAGGTAGGTGAAACTTGACAGAGCAAGAGAACAAGGTAACACAGCGGTCAGCATAAGGAGTACGCGCAAACAGAGCACACCTGGACTGTGCCACGAAAGTTTTGCCCTGCATCCCTGAACCATGTGCTCTTCAGCAAGGGTTACTTCGTCGGGGCAAGTAAAGCTGTAAGAGTTTCCCCAATCAGTATGGTGTCGTGGCGGCCCGTATCCGCCTGACTGCGGCCATGAGGGTGCGTCCGCAGTACCGCCGGGGAAGTTCGCATTGCCGAAAGCTAATTTCGCGACTACTGCCAATAGTCACGATCAGTGTAGTTCGAGAGCTGATCTCAATCAATGCGAGGCAGACTGCGAATTTTAAATGACGATGCGCTGGTATAAGTCGGAGGCAGAGATAGGTCGAGTCATGCGAATCACCGATGCGCCGGGAGTCGGACATGGGTGATACGCAGGAAGACCGAACGGGTGATCACACGTCCGGAAGGAGAAGCGCGCAGACAGGAATCAGGTAAGTTAGCCAGCTGATTAGCATGTATTGGCTCGCTAAAAGTAGATAATGCTTTCGATTTGAGCTGTGCAGGATCGCTTAGACAGCATGAACGCCACGTAGTAAACAAGACATGGCAAGACTGCGCCGTAACCCGAAACTTCCTCGTGCGCGTTTCCCACGTGGCGCCCCAGAATGTGCGACATATGACGCAAGTGTTCGCAGCTCTTACAGCGGAATCGTCTTCCGCTTCAATAGGCCTCTCCCGAGCGTGTCACCCCATCTCTTCCTTCACAACAAGATACCGTCCCCAATGTCGATATGCATCTTCTTCTCATGCACATCTCTCTTGTCCTTCCGCGGAAAGCCGCGAATTGCTCGTTCACAACCCAGGGCGCGGCATTGAAACCTACGGTCGTCCAGATGGAATCCTCGGTAGTGGCGTCGGAGGTCCGGCATGCGTGAGTACTTCTTGTTACAGCCGGTATGTGTGCAGATGTAGACTTTCTTAGTCTCGACGCGGAAAGGAATGTCGCCAGCGTTTCCGGTAGGCGTCGTGCTGTTACGCGTTTCCGTGTGGCTTGCATAATTCCACTTTCCTATCATTTGGTTAGATCCGGAAGACAGGGCTCCTCGATCCAAATCCGCGACTTCTAGCACGACCGGCGCCACGTTTCCACCCGCTTCGATGTTCTGGAGATTGCAAACATCTGGAATCTGTGCGGTCCCATAAGGGGTGTGTTCGTCTGACCCCAAGATGTTGAAGGAC